ACAGGGTAATGAATTAGTTGCCAGTAATGGGTCCTTGTGTTTACGCACAGATTTCTGGGATCGCCACGGGGAAAACATTGCAACTCGCAAGGATCCGATTACTGGCAACTCATTCAGTCAGTTTTATCGACTGAGAAAGAAATTCGCTCTGACGAAGGGCTATCGTTCGAAACGTCGGCTTTGAAACTCTTTTCGGTGGCCCATTAACGTTATCAACTAAGTTAATGATACTAATATACCCTGCATATGTACTTAGCTTACCCGCTTCGCCTTATTAGCGAAGTCAAACCTAGAAAACCACTTCATTATTTGATGGATTAAGCAGCCTTTCCGTCCAGTTGTCAGTCGATTATTATGTCGAATCAAGAGTTGGTGGGTCAGTCGGTTACATAATCAGGAGGATAATCAGAGAAATTTACAAGATATTCGTGCAAATTATTCACATTTGAGTCGAAGAATCTTTCAGACAATGCTCAAGTGGTCAAACTTTATGTGAAAGCTGTCATTTGATAAGTCAAGCCTGAAGTATATTAACATGGGTTTTGACCGCAGAGCTGCGGATCAACGATGTGGAACCAAAATATTATAAATTTCATTGTTATTAAAATTCTTAACAGTTTGCTAACCTAGAACGAATATCTATGATTTGTCTCACACGAAGTGTGGTAGAATCAATTATTACAAGGGAATACCCTTACAGAAGGATTCATAAGGATGTTTCGCCTGAAATAGGTACTTTCGAGTGCCGAAGTGTGGATGCAAAGGCAGGAATTTCATGTATCTTAAAATAGAGAATAAATTTAAAAAGACTGTTTTAAATCCAGAACATTTCTTGTTTTAAAGGTCTCGCTAGGACATGTTTCAGGGACACAGTTTTCAATCTAGATATGTGACAGTGATTCCTCTTTCTAAGGAAGCATAAGAAACAGGTACATTTACCTTTTGGGTAAAAGCATCCAACAAATCTTGGCCCTTTTGCCAAAGGATGGGAAGTACTGTAAGCTGGAAAGATTTCTTAGAGGGCCGATTTCTTAGAGGGTCGACTGAGCTCTATCTAGTGTCGAAGGTTCTTCACAACTATTAAGATGAGTCTGACCAAGGCTTGGTGACTGGCTGCCATGCTAGAAAGGAGCCTGAACTCTTTGGAATAAATACAAGAAAGTGGTAGCTATCAATAAAAGTAGCTATAACTGTATAGCTACGACCCTAAGACACCATTGATAACATAATTCTAAGCTACAGTAGTCAATGGTGTCTGATAGCTTAGGGAAAGCTGACTTCAAGTCCATCAAGGAACACAATTTCAAAAGATGTTCCCACTGACATAAATTTAAGTAACCATCATTTTTTTCTCGTGTAATAATATACATGAAAAAATTACAAATGTGAAGATAACTGTCCTCAATGTTATTTTTTTAAAATATGGTTTTCAGTGTTACAGCTTTGCACACGTGTTACAACTTTTCATTCATGTAACATGAAAATTGCACTAATTTTCAGCCCATGAGACAAGCGTAATTTTTTTCATGTTTATTACTCACGAATACATGGCTCATGTAAATTGGTTGTCTTTGAAAAATTTACTGGTGCTTATGAACACTAAATTGCACTCGAAACCATGTTATTACCTATACAAATTGACATCATGTATGATAGAAACGAATTAAAACACAGGCATCAACAAAATGCATATCACAGAAAAATTTGTTAATTTAAAATTGCATTTCTAAACAACCAATCCTCGATAAATATTATACTTCTCCCCATCTGATTATGACA